CCCCCCCCCCCCCCATAAAAAAAAAATTGATAAACACGTAGCCTATTTGGAATGGAATTAAATAACAAGTACTTTGGGTGTCTTCATTATATTTATTTTCATATAAAAGCAACGGAACTTAAAGGTATAGCGGAGGATTTTCTTTTTCCGGGTGGGTAGTCTATACTATTGGTCCACCTAAGTGTCAATCATTCTGGTGATATGTTTACGTAAGGCCGTCGTACGTGCTCGTCCCTATGTTGTTTTCGCTTTCTGCGCATGCACACTTTCAGTTGTATTATGTGTGATGAGTTACGGTTTCAGCCATTCCTTTGAAAATGGCTGAGGGTTGAAAGAGAAAAAATGTATACGAAGTGTATGATAAGAAGAGAAAGGCCGCAGGATATAGAAACAAGACCAGAGTGATTTTGGGTGAATATTTCAGACGCTGGCTTGCGCTAAAAGCACATGTTGGGCTTCCCACTGATGCAGCAGTCGCGAAGATTCTACTTGACAGGTAAAGTTTGTCATGCTATTTGGAGAAATCCATTTAAAATCACTGCTAGTAAAAGTTAATGTAAGCTATCATGCTCTCTCGTGCACACGTTTAATAGGCGTTCCCTCTCGGGAGCAAATAGAGTGTTGCGCATGTGCATTTTTAAAAAAAATTGGAGAGGGTGGGTCTTCTCTAAAATTCGGAAAGATCCTCTGCTATACCTTTAAATTACATCCAGTTTATTAGCAACACTGTGCATGAGCGTGAATCTCGCGATAGCCGCCTTTGATCTCACAGGTGTCTGGTCCACTGCGAGAAGAGAGATCTGTCCGGCTTGCCTGCGCTTTTTTCACTCCTCCCCTCACTGCAGCCGCCTACTCTCGCATACATTTCAGGCGAGGCAAGGCGTAGTCTCGCGTAGCCAGACCTTCAGACTGACGGCTGAAGGTCTGGAATTCATAGCAGCTTTCTTTGGCTAAGGCCCGCCCATAAGGCCGTTTGACCGACATGTAAAACAACCAATTACAGTTCGTTTCGTTCAGCGGCACGTTTCGGTGCGTGGAAATGTCCCCACAACAACAGACCGGCATGCAACAAGTCAGTCAGCATAGAAAATCAAAGAAGGAGAAGAAAACTTCAAGAGTCTATGCCGTGAACCTCGCATACTTTTGAGAATCCTACGTTTAGCTGATCTTGATAAATGCTCATTGTCACTCATGTAAACACAACAGTTTTTCTTCCGCAATCACACGTCTGCGCTTTGTTTCCCGGCGGACCGAAAATAAACGCGACACTCGCGCCCCCCGGAAATCCGATAACATTCAACCAATCAGATGACGACTTCGACATTCCTGAAGTGTTTCCAGTTAAGTGTACCATATGCATCAGACGTTTAGCCACCCAACGTTCCGTGGGCGTGACGTCTGAGGCTGAGACTAGGCAAGGCGCATCTCAAACAAGCCTAATGTATCCACCTTTTTCCTATGCCCCATGATGCTTTGCGCAAATGGTAACACTTTACAATAAGGTTTCATTAGTTAACGTTAGTTAATGTATTAACTAACAATGATCAGTACATTTGTTACTGTATTTATTAATCTTTGTTAATGTTAGTTAATACAAATTCAGCTGTTCATGTTAGTTCACAGTGCATTAACTATGTTATCAAATACAACTTTTGATTTTAATAACATATTAGTAAATGTTGAAATTAACATTAACAAAGATTAATAAATGCTATAGAAGTAGTGCATTCTTAGTTCATGTTAACTAGTGTATTAACTAATGTTAACTAATGAAACCTTATTGTAAAGTGTTACCGCGCAAATTGTGGGTATAACTTCCGTTAAGCTGTAAACAATCAGTGAAAAGGCTCCCTCTATGAACGCAATACGTTAAAAAAGTGTTACAATGAGATGACATTAATTAAAAAAGTGTTACAATGAGATGACATTAATCTACTCACCCTTCAACTATCGGACATTAAAAGGAAATTTAAAAGTGTAAAAGCATCAACAAGGTACTTTCAACACACCAAATAACCCCAAAAGCGCGAGTTTTCCCGCAGCAATAACGGACGGGTTAAATATCACTGTATAATATATATATATCTGTATTATTATGTAACTTATGTTGCCTTAATCAAAAATGTTCATTAACTTCAGGATTACGTGATACTATTTCAAAGTGATTTCCGTCATTTTGACAGATTATCAATTGCATTTACCTGTGAAAACAAACGTGGAAAGAGACGTGAGGGTTTGAGGAGAATAACGAGAGATTCTTTGTGAATTCCGGTGAATTATTAATTGAATATATCGTAAATTAAATTCGGAAGAACAGACCACAAATGTGCAGTATATGTCCTTTTTCATCCTTTTACAGCGGATTGCAAAGGGAAAAAAGAAAATAATCACGAGGAAAAGAAAGCAGCGGCTGAAAAGAGCTCTTGCCATAGATATTCTTGTTATAACATGTCACGTTAAAATACCAAGTATAACGTTATTCTCATGAGGTCTGAAAATAAATCATTAAGGAAAACTGACAGCTCATCCAGTCAAACTGACGGATCAGCTTTATTTGTAGGGCAACCTTATGATTTGAAATGATTCGTTTCAGCCTTTTTGAATGGAAGTTCCCCAAACCGGAAGTGCCACCCATAATTCAAAACGCAGTAAGGTCATCAGGAATAAGGTGGATACGTAGAATCCAAATTTGACAGCTCTAGACACATCGCCGCGCCCGCCATCTTGGAACGGTCAGCGTGTCGTCACTCACAGTAACAATCAATGATGCTACAACATTGCGTATCTTCTGGTTGTAAATCTGCCGAGATTTAAATTCCCGAAGAAATGTGATAACCTTTCACAGGTGAGAATGTGTTAGTCTGTGTTTTTATGTGTATTAACTAACTCAATATTACAGGTTTAATACGGTAGTATTTTTTTTTGTATTGTGTTAGTTTAGCAAAATCATCTGCTGAAGTCTATTGCCGATAAAGATATTCATGCGTCTAACTACGGTTGCAGACGCACAGTCAACGAGTATGGGGTCTCTGCGGAACAAAAGTGGGCGTTTCTAAATTTGTGGGTGTTTTCAAACTGGTGGGTGTTTATCATGCAATGAAAATTATGCCCTTCATCTGACCCCTCTGTTTATGGCCTAGCACACTGATCTGGTAACTCCTATTACTGTCCTGCAGAGACCTATACTTGCAGTCAACTTGCTCTTGATTGTCACAGACCGGTGTTTTGACCGTTCTAATATGGCGGACGACGGCTTATGTATAGTGGCCCATCGAAACAGTCCCTGATGAGGCATCTATGTTTATATTTCGATGGTTCAGTCCCCCCAAAATGGGGACTGAAATATTGCCACAAAAAGCTCAGACTGTCAGTTTGTAGTACTCACCAAGTCTGCCAAGCAACTAAAATGAAACATTTTTAACGTAAAAGTGATACAGATTTGCACTATATATTTACATATGTAGCCAACATTCAAGATCTGAATATTCAGAAGGCTCTATTTAAATGTGTTAAATATGACAGAATGAGTTCACTAGGCTATTCCTTTAACAGACACGTGAAATCACTATCAGACTAGCACCTGTTTGCAAATGTCTTGTTCTACACAGAAGCTAGTTTGACTTGATTTACATAAACAAATTGACCAGGCACCCATGTTAAAGAACATAAAATGAACTAGGCCTACTATATAAATACATTTAATCCATGTTCATGACGTAAAACATGTGGCATGCGTGTTTACAAGAAGAAGAAGATTAGATAATTCATGTGCAAGATAATAGGGTATAAAAACAGACACAAGGGATTTATTAAACCTCTTTTGGTGACTCTCTGAAAAGATGAACTGCTGCCTTGTTCACTGCTCATTCTGACAAAGGCTTCTCTGATCAAAGGGCCGAAATTCTGGACTTTATTTTGTCTCAGCACGTCTCTGGTGTGAACCCATTACTTTCCCCCTTTTCTGCCACCATGCTCGGAATGGAAGCTGAAGGTGGAGCGAGTTACATCATCTCGTGCTGCTAGGGATGGGCACAGCATTCCCGCTAGTCTCAGAGACGAAATGGAAAATCCCAGCTAAGCTTTGGATTGGTGCTCCAGCGTGTTTCCACAGTGCACCTTTCATTACGACGTAGACGTAAATATGCATTTGTCAGATCATGTAAACCTCCAGCACAAAGGTCGTCTTTTATATGAAGGGGTTTAGCGTCTTGATGTGTGTTTCCTAGCAGCTGTTTTGTTGCTGTATGAACATTTGGTTGCTGAGATGTTCCAGGCCGTTGTTGACATTTGATCCAAGTCTGCTGTGTGTTCTCAAGAGCTGCTATTTGTTGCTTCGGTATATTTAATCAGATCAGATGCATTGGCAAGGATTGTGGTCATTTTATTTTCCCCATTTTTGTTGAAGTGAAGCTGGCAGAGGACAATGATTCAGGCATTAAGGGGATTCATGTTATATTTAGAGCATAAGTGGATTGCAAAGCAAAATGGGAATTTGCTCTGATGTACGCAGCAGATACATGATATGCTTTCCAACACTAACTGAATTATTACATGTGTTTTAATGTGAAAATCTTCAGCTCATATTAACAATCCATTTTACTTTACTGCAATCTGACTTGTGTCTGAGAGAAAAAGGATAATCATTGAGAAAATGTAGGGAGGGACTTGAATTTATTCCTCTGAAGATAATAGGATCAGAAAGTCAGGTGGCTGGAGGGGAAGAAAAAGTTTTTTAATTTGTATTAAAAGTTTAATTTTTAAAAAATGATATTGATGCATCATGCCCAAGGCCTGCAACATGCATTAAAAGGGTTAGTTCAATCAAAAATGAAAATTCTGTCATCAATACTCACCCTCAAGTCATCCCAAACCATGATTTAATTTTTTGGGTGAACTATCCCTTTAAGAAAGTAAATTAGTGATAATTTTATGTAGAGTAGATGCATTTTTATTACCTGTATGTTTAATATTTTCATGGCAAACCTAATTTTGTATTGCAGGTTACAACCACATCGTCATGATGAAGACTTTGGCACTAGTTTTCTTGACACGTGAGTTTTTTTTTTTAGCATTTTCTGAAGTCTTCTTGCTTGTTGTCCTGTCTCTTACCATATAAATGTAAATTCATTAAGGTGCTTTTATCTGTATAGACCACAAGTAACTATAAATAATAATAAACACACACACATGTGACCGTACAATCTTTGGATATTATGTTGCTAATATACTAATATGCTCTATTATTTTTGTAGTTTTTTCCCTTGTGTTGGCAGAAGGTCAGAAGACAAGTAAGAGATTTCACTTTTCAATTACACTGTTTCTTTTTGATTCTGCTCTCATCCTTGTGGATAAAATAATTTTACACAATGTTACATGCACTAATTAATGTTTTTTTTTTTTTTTTTGATTTGGGATTTGCAGCAGAGGAAGACCCCTTCACTTTTGGTTAGTTGCACACATCGTTTGAGTCTATCAGTCTATCATCCATAATCCAGTGCTTAAAGAGTTCTTAAGATCATCTCACATTTTCTTTCGTTGTCATTTATTCTGTCTCTCACTAGATTATCACAGACTTCGAGTTGGAGGTTTGATCTTGGCAGCAGTTCTGTGTCTGATTGGCATTACTATTCTCCTAAGTGAGTTTGACAAATGTTAAGACAAGATTTAAGATATATAGGCCGATCTATTTGCATGTTACATAGCCAGTTAAACCATTAGATGGCGACAAAAAAAGGTTGGCAGGTCGGCACAACAAACCTAGCCCAATGGCCTACTACTTTAACAAATTGTACAGTATAGTTCTTTGGCAGAAGTAGGAGTATAATGCTAGTATGGTTCCCGAATTCAGTCATTGAATCATTCGCCCAGTTTGTTCAAAAACACCAAACCATTTACAAACAAAACGCCACTACTGTTTTTTGGCGATTATGTTTAGAACTGTTTAAGTATTTTTTATTTAACTGTCTAAAATTAAGTTACTCAATATTAACTTCTTGATTATTAAGCTTTCTAATTAATAACTGAGGCTTATTTATTATATTGTGGGCTAGCAACAACAGCAGATCCTAAATCCGTGGCATATGAAATCATTGGATTTATTTACATAGTCCGCTGAACTGACAATATTCAGACATGCTGATATATGGCCATAACTCTTGCTTGATTTATTTTTTTTCCCTTTGGATTTTGAGTTGAAATGTGACCTGGACATATTTTTGATTCAGCCAGCAACCTGTTTAACAAGATCCTTTGCCATTATTACAGGTGGCCACTGCAGATGCAAATTCAACCAGGACAAAAGGTATAAAATTAATAATATTGGGTACAGCTAATTTTTATACAGTTAATAAATTCACATTGTGGTGTTTTACTTGTATGTACATCAAAGTATATACACATTGACTAGCTCTAAAAGCGCAGTTCTCTTTTGACAGGAGGAGGACAGGAAGTAACGCTCAAGCGATGCTCAATGACACAGGTATGACCGCCCTCATCTGCCTGTGCTACCAGTAACATGAAACCAGTGCTGGTAACCTGGTATAAATCAGAACTCTCCCCGTCAAGTTCCCTTATGAAACACGCCACTTATAAACCTGTGTTCCACGCATGAAATCCATCTGCTAATTATTGCTGTTCCAGTTCCCCTGTGATGCAGTGAGATACAGTGGGTCTGTGCTCAGTGGTGGGCCCGTATGGCCCGTCTCCACAGCACCAGTCACATGGTTTACAGGATGACTCATAATATCTCCCCGGGGAGTATTTACACTCCATGATCCCTGAGGGTGGGGTTGGGGAAACAGAATACAAAGATGTGCTATGTAAATGTTTTATTCAGCATCTAATTGTCTATAGAGAAGAATAAAAGAATTCGAATTTAATTTAAATTATTTAAAGGGGCCATGAGTGTCAAATGTTCCTTGATCTTTTGAGATGAAAGAGTTCTTTGTACAAAGAAAACATGCTGTAATTTTAAAACCTCAAAACTTTCCAGTGAAAATAAGCATTTCTTTTAAACTAAGCTGCAAAAAATGTCTTGTGGAGGTCTGCAACTTTCTGACATCAGATCAGACAGATGAATTGGCATGAAAAAATGAATTGGGACATTGTCAACCCAAAGAAACATAAATAATATAATATTATAAGTTGATAAGTTGACCACTCTCAGGCCTTCAGGTAAATCGGTTCCCTCTGTGTTCTCAGTGTAAGAGACTGATCTATAGATGAATATCCTAAACATAAAAAATCAGTTCATTAAATATTTAAATGTGATATTAATCTTCAATACTTTTCTATTTTACAGCAAGGGCCAGCGAATGCTAAAAACCTGCTGACCTGACCAGAACCAATCAGAGGAGATGGTCTGCCTTCCTTTATCTCATGTGCTGGTTTATCAGAGGAATCATTTCTCTTTAAGACGAGGAACCTGATACAAAGGTTTTCTGTGTTTTCACTGCTTATCTGCTCTCAGATTATAGAGGAGGAAGGTGAAAACTCATGTAGGCCTACCATTTTTTTTTATGCCAGATGTGTCTTTGTAATGTCACTTAATATAAATTGATCACCAAAATTTTTCATGTAAATTGTTTTTTTTTATCCTGTCAGTAACTGTATTAAATTATGTTGGATGTAGGTATGAAAGGGAAAGCTTTCAATGGCAGTGTCCTGATTCAGTCTCATATGGAAACCTTTAACCAAATATTGCTGTAAGCTAGTGAATCCATTGTTGCATTCTGTGTGAAGTAGTTTACTGTTCAGACTTGTTTGGCAATTGAGTAATAGTTGAATAAGACATATGAAAAGATCATGCTTTCAAGAAAAGAAAAAAAAAAACCATCATATTTACACTGTCATGTGCTTGACATATTTTCATTACCAGCCTATTTATCACAAACATGCTAGTAGTAAGAGTTTGTTTTTATCTGTTGTGTGAAAAATTGTCAGTATCATTCAAACATAAACACTAAAATAAACTAAAAGACACTTAACCAAAGAGCACCTGTATCAATGTTTTCTGTTCTCTGTCTCCAGCTGACTGACACCCTACTGTTTCTCAAAGCCTTAGATGAGCACGTGATTTGTGTGGTTTAAGGCAAGCATTAGACAATTTAGCTACAGCCTACATGTTATTTCTCACATCCTTTTCATGCATGTGCAATGTTTTAATAAAATTATTCAGTTGAAGCTAGATAAAAAAGGCGAAAATTAAAGTTGACTGGGTCTGGGTGGTAATAAACTGCTAAAAAGAGACTTTTGCAATTACAATGCCCCAAAATTGACTCAACAGCGCCCTCTACTCACTGATATTTGGCATTACATAGGAACTATTATCAGTATTCAACTGACAATCTTGATTGCAATGTGAAATACAGTTATGTCCATACATTGACAATCTAATTCTATAATTACAGTAATTTCCCAACACTAAACAAGATTGGTTGGTTGGTTTGTGCTGTGTGAACAGAACCACAGTTCAGTCATGACAACTCTTGAGTGAATTATTTAAGCAGCATTTATTTGCATGGGGCATGTACATTGCAATGTACATATGCTTGATTTTGGCGGACAAGATCGGCTGATTAGCAAATACTAGAATTTGTTCAGCATATTTAAAAATAACATGCAAAAACAGGGCTGCCAACTTTTGAGTTCAGCTTAGAGTGAGATTTTGGGGGGCGGGGCTTGGGTTATGGGGGAGGGGATTATTGAGGGGCGTGGCTTGGTGTGGGGAAAAATATAAACACAAAATCCTTGCATTAGCAGAAGTGTATTAAGTATATATTGATTGTCAAAGTATTTGGTATCTGTACATAATTTCTTGGGAGATTTACATTACATTTAATTTTACATTTAACATTTTAATTGACATTCTGTTCTTAGAAAACAATAATTAACATTAACTACTAGCATGTCCAGATATTTGTCATCTGGAAATGCTTTTGTACTGTTTTTATGATAAAGTTATGTAAAATAACTGCTCAGTGCTGCAAAACAAACAACTCTGCTATTGCTAACTTAATTCTATATAAACTATATAACAGGCCTTTTACCAGCCTAAACTGGATGGAGACAAGGAGCGCCCTGTAACTCACTGACCTGCCTGCGTTCACAATTCACACAGTGCAGATGGGAGGGAGAACGGCTGACTACACAGTTTAAGGGAATAAATTGTGTATTTCCCTCACAATTGTCACAAAAAACTCACACTGTCTGTCTGGTCTCCAGAGCCGGTCCGAGCCTTTTGGGGGCCCTAAGCAGAATTTGATTTGGGGGCCCCCTCCCACTACGCGAAGTCCCCTGTGCTTGACGATTATTGATACAAATGTCACGCAATAATGATACATTATGAATGAATACAGTAAGGTTATGTATTAATACAAAATAAATAGGCCTATACTTAATAAAAAATAGATGCCTACTTAAATAAAAAAGTTTTAACTTTTACTTTACTCTTTTACTAACTCTTTAAAACTTCTTCAAACAAACTGTCTCAAAACATATAAAATAAATTATTTGCTAAAATAATGACAAAACTGAGAAATCAGAAATATAATAAGAGATTATTATATTGTCATTGTTATATAATGACAATATAATAATTGTCATTATATAACAATAATGACAATTATTGTTGAAAACTGTAAAAATATTATTATTTCTCAACTGTCTCAATACAGTGTAACTGTCCAATGGGTTGTGTTGCGAAAGACACGCAAGCTCGTTTACCTCTCTGCCGTCCTGTGCGCGTGCGCGGTTAGGAGCGCCCCGTTAGGAGCTCAACACATCTGTCTCGCATGCACGCTCGCTCGCTATAGATTACAGGATATTTTAACTAATTTGCGGTAAAACTAGTCGATCACGAATGGCTCAACTGGTAGATCTATAGATAAACTTATCTTTCAGGCATTTGACCGACTGGGTTGACACTTCAGCGTGAGAAATCGGGGGTGTGGTGTAGGTCAGGAAGTGGGAATGGGACTCGCACTTTATTTACAGTAAAAATCAAAAGAAAACAAAAGCTGCGCTCGTGCGCCTTCACCGTAGTCAGGACTACAGAAACCGTTATAAACACTCTTTCCGCTGTAGCAGCTCTCGCTGTATGTCTCCAGCTCTCTCAGTTCAGTCAGACGAATACTCTTCCCACTACATCAAAACTCATTCCATTTGATGCAAAACTCTTCCCGATGTGCCACTTCTCAATACGTGCGGGTCCCGAGCCCTTCTCTCTCCGCCGCTCTCTCATTCTCAGCAGTTTATGCAGTCTCTCCACGCCAATCACTGCAATCAGACACAGGTGTTCATCATCTGCACTTGACCTACTTACTCACCGCACAGCTCGCTGATTCCTCTCTCGCTACATACTTCGCGAAACCACGCCCCCCTCGCCACAGTGTGGTTTTGTGTTGGAGGAACAGTTAGGGGTGGAAAATTACAATTAATTGGGGGGAAAAAATGTTTCGACCACAAAACAGAGAGGATGAAAGCAGTGGAAAGTTGCCTAATGCCTAGTAGTTTAATATAAAAATCGACAGATAAAATATATGGCCCATGGCATGCACACTCTTGCTGTTATGAGGTGGTAGTTTCAGAGATATGAAACCTTAAGATTAGAGCTGTCAAACAACAACAAATAACAATATTTATTGTTGTCTTGGAAAGGAAAGACAACAAGAAATATTGTGGTCTTTCCAAAGAAATAAGCTTGAAAAGATTTTTCAGCTTTTAGAAGGGAGACTTTTGTGATGTATGCGGTGGCTAATGGAAACCTTTATGGTGCCGTCAAGTAGACTTGCACTTGCAGTCTGTGGCCCTGTCCCAAATGGCACACTCCGGAGTCCACACTTTGGTGACATCATCATGTAGTGCAGACCTAGGGCCCTTGGCGCGAGTCCACGAGGGCGCATTGAGAGGTATTTTTGGGACAGACTCAATCGAGCCTTATCCCTCTCCATACGGAGCCGAATAAACTGAAAAGTCATCTCATCAGTCCCTTAGATAAAAATCACAAATAACATATACAAATATTATACTATTTCACGAGTTCACATCTACATATAATTATTATGGTAAAGGTTATGCGTACTTGGCGTGCTGTCCAGGTGAGGGCTCCGAGCTCGGAATTTTTTGCCCGAACCCAGGGTAAAATGTACACCTAGGTCATAAAAACCGTAATGATACTTACACTTAAATATTTTATTCTCAGCCATGTTAACAATTGTCCGTGAGCGAAATCTCCTCCCATACGTTGTCTGATTGGCCTTTCGCAAGGATTTCTGGGTATAAAGTGTGTGGAGCCTGCATCCATGCGGGCTTCGCAGAGGACCGCTTCAAGGGTACAAAGGGGGCGCTGCTGAGCACACTTCAGAGCCTTAAAATGATGAATGGGACGGCCTACGCGAGCACACGCAATTTAAGTCCACGAGACCGAAAGTCCACATGAAGTGAGTCATTTGGGACAGGGCCTGTGAGGTAAACTAAACACTATTGACTATTTGAAAAAATGGAGGCGCCATTCAATATGTCCCGCCTTAGCTTTCTGTTTCAGTGGCAATTAGGCATCATACAAAGCTGCGCGTTCCAAGGCACTTCAGTGGGCTTTTAATTCAATGTGCTACTTGCCGATTCTTTGTAATTTTCTAGCAATTATTTCTACACATTTTTTTAATACAGAGAGGATCGTAAACCACTTGGAATGTTGTGTAGACTCTGATCCATTTTCTCTTGCCTGGGTATGTTTTTCTCATGTGTTGGCGCTTGACAGAAACTCCGCCTCCGCAACGATTACGTATTTCCGGTTTTGTGTGAAGGGTCTATAAAAGGCCAATGTACTTAAAAAAAGACTCACAATATTCAATTGAAAAAAACATCTTAAAGGGTGGAAGTGATCAGGCATGGCCCAGGCTTTATCTCCACTATATCCTCAGGGACACATTGCTGTAAATCATGTAGTCCATCATGACAGCGTCCAGCTCCATGCCCAGGACCTGAATCACCACAACGAGCCTGTGGTCGTTGTTCAACCCCCTGTGGTCCGGACTCGCGCTCCCCTGGCTGACCCTGTGCCCGATTACATGTGTTACTCAAGATTTACCACGCTGTGCTGCTGCATCTGTCTAGGAGCTGCTGCACTTAGTTACTCTAGAGCTGTAAGTATTCATTTATTTACCTTTGAATGCCTTTTTTCTAGGAAGATTTTTCATATTATGCAAGATTCAAATAAGATCTTCATAATACCATTCAAAAGTTTAGGGTCTGTAAGATTTTTCTTACAGTTTCTGAAAGTGTCTTGTGCTCACCAAGGGTGCATTTAAATAAATACAGTAGGCCTACATCACTGAAAACTAGTATTTTTGTTGAAACAATAATACAATAAAATTCAGGATTTAAAAACAAATATAAAGTTCCAATGAACAGCATTTATTTGTTTATTTGTCTTTATAGCATTATAAATATTTTTACTGTCACTTTTGATCAGTTTAATGTGTCTGTGCTGATAGATAATCTGGTTTGCTTTAAAGCTTTGTGAAACATTGATAATATTTTTTTAAAAAATTTAAATAAAATACATTATTGCTTGTTATGTTATCATATAACTTTATGACTTGATGAAACACAATGAATAATCCACACATATTTATAAACATCATGTTTTTATTTTGGGGGGCATAAATAATTATTACCTGATGATAGAACGTCTCGGTTACTAACGTATCGGTTCC